AATTTCTTGGCTTTTTAAAATGGAATTTAAGTGTGTATAAACTATACACAAATTTTAACTGAAACTTGTCTTATGTAGAATTATCTAGTGTTAGAGGATCACAAAAGATCATCACATGAGTTGTATTATACTGTAGTTGCTGGAAGTGGACAGAAGCAAGAGCAGCTGGGATGTGACTATAGTCTTTCTGTGCCAAAATATTCTGATGAGCTTTTTAAAATGGAATTTAAGTGTGTATAAACTATACACAAATTTTAACTGAAACTTGTCTTATGTAGAATTATCTAGTGTTAGAGGATCACAAAAGATCATCACATGAGTTGTATTATACTGTAGTTGCTGGAAGTGGACAGAAGCAAGAGCAGCTGGGATGTGACTATAGTCCCTCTGTGCCAAAATATTCTGATGGTTGTTTTGGACTTAATGAAATGGTGAAGCAAATGTATGAGTGAGTGCAACACACACAACATATAAATATACACACCGTTTAACCTCTCTGGTAAACTAATGTTGCCTTGCCTGCTCCACAGAATGCAGGCTAGAAAGCTATCTTCCAATTTCCAAACCCTTTCTCTACAAACATGTTACCTGCATGTTTTCCAAAAGATGTCCCCTCATATTTTGAAATAGAAAAAAAAAAAAGGAGTGGGTGTTAGTAAAGATTGTCACTTGAAACCAAAGTAAAAAATCATCTATACTATGTAAAAGATGGATAGTGAAGAAAGAGAACAGAAAAAATCAACTCATTTGGAATGTGGTGTTGGAGGAGAGCCTTCAGATACCACAGTCAGAAAGGCAAATAAGTGGGTACTCAATCAAGTCAAGTCTGAACTCTCCCTAGAGTAAAAATGAATAAATTGAGGCTACCTTACCATGCACATATAATGGGAATACAGAAATGACCAGAAAAGACAATATCGCTGGGAAAAGTTGGATGGGGCAATAGGCAAAGAGGAAAACCTAATATGAAGCAGATTGTCTCAGTAAAGGAAAGCACCATTGTTAGTTTCCAAGAGATGAGCAGAACTTAGTGGAAAAGACAAAACTGCTAGGATAGGGGAGGCAACAGGAAGAGAGAACCGTCTAATATGAGATGCTGTTAATTTGCAAGGTCTGAATAGAATTGTTAATGATAGGATATTTGGGAGGTCATTAACACATACTGTTGCCACCCATCAGAAGTGAGTTGATGGCACATAACATATTTGGAGTTATTGTTGTTAAGCAATTATATAGCGACAATATGGGTGTAATGGAGACTATGATAGGGGACTATGACTGCATCTAGGCATCAAAGCTCTGCTGACATCATATAGCACCATTACCAGCCACAGAGCAGAATACAGTAATTTCACAACTTGAACAAGTTCATTTCTGAATATTTGTTCTGTAATCTTTTTTAAATATATATTTTCAAAAATATTTTCAATATTTATATTTTTTGTAAAACCTGTTTTTCCTGTTTCCGTGACTTTTCACTCTAAACGTCCCCCTCCCCACAACCTATGAATGCATACAATGTTTCATTTTGTAAAGCTCCTGCTGGCTGATCTCTACTACACAGGCTCAGTCTTACAACAAAGTGGCTGTTTTTCCCTTTGGAAAGGCCTTTTTAGAGGATAAATATTTCAGCTCCTGCAGCCTGGATTCTTTCCAAATGAAAAAGTGGGTTGAGCTAATAATTTTCTTTCAAGATAAGATATATATATATATCTGGACTGACCCTATTTTTAGAATTGCCTTATAAAATGTTGATGTGCTGTGCCAGCACAAGATCATTGCTGCACTCCCACGCAGGAATACGTATTTATCTGTAAGAACTGGTGCTTAAGTTTCCCTCTTCCTCTGTCCTTTCCCATCCCTTTTTTTCTGTTACTTTGTCTTAGACTGAAGGCAATGATTTTTTAAAGTCTTTTTTATTTATTTTGGTTAAAAAAAATATAAATGAACATACGTAAAGTGTTCTGGTAGTCTTTCTGGCTGAAAGGGAAATGAAAATGCTTTAAATTAATGCATACATATATACATTATATGGGCCTGACGCCCTCAATTTAACATATATACAGTGAGGGACACAAAAAGAAATTTCTATCCACAAGAAAAATAAGGATAAAATATACTGCAATTAGACGACACTAGATTCAAAGAGTTCTAAGCCAGAGCTCAGGAAAGTTGTTTTACTGGACCACATTTATCAGAATTACCATGATGGTCGAGGGATTCCTGGACTTATAATAACATAGGTACAAAGAGTTACATGGGAAAACCAAACAAATGTACAAACAAACACATTCCCCTTCCATTGCTTTAAAGCAACATTGGAAAAGGGTGATTTGAAGCAGCTGTGGGTGGGGCAATCTTCAGTCCTCTGACAGTGCATTTTACATAGTTTCCTGTGTTATGTTAGGATATTGTGATGATCCTTACAAAAACACACTAGCTCAGTGATCTTTATCACATTACAGATGGGGATATATAGTGGCAGAAAGCTGTCACTTACTGAAGCCCAGTTAGTAAATTCATGGCAGAAATTAGATTTGAACCTATTCACACCTCGCTGAGTCTCTTAGAAAACAGTAATGAAATCTCTGAGATCAGTGGGTAATGTATTCTATAAGTGCACAATAGCTTAAATCCTATTAAAGCTGACCATAAGAACCTGTCAATTTTTAATTCCCACAGCCAAACTTTATAAGCGCGGGAAGGCTTTGGGTCCTTTTTTTTTTTTTAGTGTCAGTATTCAAGACCTCGTGGAAAAACAAGGACACTCCTGCCCTTAGGACTATTGCTTGTTGATGAACTTAGATCCACAGCCATGTATTGTTGGAACAACCGAAGTTAGAGACTAGCTTTCTACTTCTCTCCCCCACAAGCCCTGTAGTAGGCAGGGCACAAGCAAATCCTGCCATTTACACAGTCAGGCTTCCTCTTACTTACCTTGTTGAAGTGGTCAGAAGAAGTAGAAAATGGACAGACTAACAGTGAAACATGCCAGAGTCCCATAAGTGGCAGTTTGCCTTTTATGCAAACAAGAGAACTGGAATAAAGCAATCCTACCTCTGAAACAATAATGTCTTGAAATCAGTCATGGAATGAGGGTTACTTTTATGGACTTTTCAGTTCATAAGTTTTTTAAAAATATATAAATTGTTCATCTGCTCTTGTTTTTTATCCCCTTCTCAACAGCACCATGTCGTCATCATTCTCCATGAAATAATCACCATGTCACAGAATTAAGAGGAATAAAAAGCAAGAGCTGGTGAATTCTAGTTTGTTTTTTTCATTGAGTGAGGGAATAATTTTTTTATTATAAATAAACATTTATTTTAAAAGAAAAAGAACAATTACAATGTAACACAACAGACACACATTTTTGTTACAAAGATTCAGAGCCGTCCACTGGATGACAAGCAACAAGGTGTCCTGAGATTCAGTGAGTACGTATCTTTCAAAAGGGAGATGTGAAGAAGTCCACCTTTTGTTGTTAGCCATTAAAGTCCAGCCAAGTATACGACTAAAGAGGCTAGTAGGCTAGCTAGTTGTGAGCTAGCTAATCTTGAGGGTTGTTCTGGCAAAGATATCCTTGCTGAGTAAGGGAAGACACTCAAAGCCACCAGAGATTGTCCACAAGTTTAGAAAATAGTTGTTCTCTCTCCTGTGGTAACAGTCTGAGAATCCAGACGGAAGCATAGGTGGAAATCAGGATATCCAAACGCCTTTGCTAGAATTAGAACTACATGGCAAAATGAATGTTGGAACACACTTCTTGTCAGGCCTTCATTGATAACCGCCTCATCAGAGCACAGGACTTGGGGTCATGGCTGGGGGGGGGTGTCATTTCTTTTTCACCTATTCACCTTTATTGTGAAGGTGTATTTGTGCAGGCCCTTGCTGGCAGTCAGGCTTCTGACTGGACTGCTAAAATGAAGCCAAGATTTTCAAGTTGTTTCAGGTGGCTCCGGTTGTGAGCGGACAGCTCAAAACAACTCCAAAAGATTTCCCTCAATAGTACAAAAGCAAGGTCTTTTGAAGAAGTCTTAAGATGGCGCTCAGATTTAGAGGCACCCCAAAACCACTATACATACTTAAAAATCTTGGGTTGGTCAATTATTATTATTTTTAATTTGCTTACTGGCCTTTCTGTCCCATGGCAGACACATACATCTGCCTTTCTTCGATAATGGTTTAGTTTTTAGCATGACCAGTCTCCCCCTTTTTTGCATACAATTTCCAACCAGTTTCTTGAGTGGGCTGAAATTTCAGGATATTTAACCTGGGGAATCAGAAGAACTGGTCCATGGTTTGTAAACAAGGTATTATCACTGCAGTTTAAAGGATAACCCCCTTCTCTAAGGTGCTGATTTCTGATTTCATCAGATCTCCCCAAGTCCCAGCTCTGGAACAGAATGAACAGTCATCCCCATTGAATATGCCATAACACATTCAAACTCATTTTCTCCTCCCTTTCCAATGAATGGTTAACAAGAGCCTGGAGGGTCCCCCCCCCAACCCGAAAGTGCTGAAGGTCCTTTTAGAGTAGAGACACATAAACATCGAGATACTCTACCCTTCTGCACCATTTTCTTAGCAATTCAATTATAAATTGTGAGGGCTTTAAACAAATGATGGGTTCACTCCCCTCCAGACTAGCTATGCAAGTTTCTTTGTAAACAAAATTCAAAACAAATTTGGTGGATCTCCTTATGAAGCATCTGAGGAATTCTTCAGGGGTTAAAAGTTTCAATAAGATGTGAGTTTTTTTGTGGCACACCACATATCCTTACTCTTTTACGTGGGGAACTGCATAATCTTCTCATATTTGACAGCCATGGGAAATTCTGTTGCATAGTCACACTAGAATAGGCCAATTGAATCAGTGGGGATATAGTGAGTCAATGCATCCATATGTGCCACTGTATAGGTGGAATTTTAAAGTACATATAGGTGTCCTTTAAATATAGGCACAATTTTCAACCAGATGATTTTTTTTTGTTTTAAAAAAGGTAACATACTGGCTGAAATCCTGTTGTGTACTTATGCAAAAGGTGTAAGAAGCAGCAACAAGTTAATGCAAGTTGTGCAACCTGGCATGTAAGGGATAATGCCTACAGAGATTTCTTAACTTATGACAATTTGCATTACTGCAAAACAGAATTTTGACTAATATATGTGAAGGGGAGATTAAATTAAAGATACTGGCAACAATAAGGCAAATGGAAAAACGCAGGTGTAGAAGTAGCCTTATTAAGTTAAAACATATAAAAAGCAAGTGTTTAGTACACTTGTGCACTAAATTACTGACATCTTTTTTTTTAATTCGAGACTTTTATGTTTTTAGAAATTTACAGTTGGTAGTAGTATCCTGATCTCTTTAAAGTTAAAAATAGTGTATTTTTAAACATTTCTGTTGACTGCATTCAGATGTCTATTACCCTGTCTATTGTACAATTTCCCTCTTTTATAAATGTGAAACAGTTAATGATATTAATGTCAATAAACCTACACTGACATGGTAAAATACCTGTGCAACACATATATTGCATTTCTGGATGGACAGGTTTCCCTGAAAGAAAGATGAAAGTGGAAGCACAGTACTTGACCTATTACCCCTGCCGACTTTAGTTGGGGAACAGCATCTATTTGCACCACTCATATGCACTGATGCTGTCTCAGGAAAAACACTTTTATTCAGGAAAGTTTCCTGAATTATGAATTACATAGGATAAATTAAGTTTAGTATCCTCCAGCAGTCGTCTATGGCTTCACAATCTCACTTACACAGCGATATTGAAAATCTATGTGACTCATTGTGATATGCAGAGCCCTAGGTACTAGAATGCTTAGTTTCCTGAACATGCCTAAAGGGGAAAGCATGGCCCTCTTTCCATGCAGTGTTGGAAGAGTTTGAAGAGGAACTGTTCCTCCTTACGTGTCATCTCTAAGCACAAGCAAGAACCAAGGAAAAAGGTTCTTTCTATAGCCCACATCCAAGAAAGAAACCTTCCTCTTTAGACTCCCCTACCACCATTATAATGGAAGGGATGGCAGACGGTGTAGGTCTAAGTGCTCTTGTTTAAGTGGGTTCAACAAACCAGGTATGCCAATGTCTGAATAGGGCTCACAGAAAGGAGATATAAGAGCTACACTTCATGTTCCTCTGTATGCATGTAGCTTTCCCAAGCTGTTCCTCAAGATACTACCATTTCATCATATTGACCTCCCCTTCACTGAAAAAAAAAGGTGGCCTGCCTAGCTTTGAATGAAAGGTCCACAAAAGAATTTAGTACAGGAAATCAATTACAAAGGTGAGTCTAGGAGAAAGGGAGGCTGCCATTTTTTTCAGGAATGGACAGCAGGCCAGGCCAAAACCTGTCAGAAAATTCTTTTGTGGAATTAGCAATTGGATAATACTCTTATTCAGCTTTGACTCTTTGAGCCACTTGGGAATCCAAGACGGAGGCCACAATGGTCAGACAGATGGAAGTGGACTTTCTGAATGTCATAGAACTTCACACAAGTATAACTCTTGACCAGCAGTAAGATGGTTGGTCAGGATTCCTCTACAATGTGCTTTTTTTCTATCTGCAAGGATACTCTGGAAAACATTTTTAAAAGCTCTCCTCCATCTGTAGTCTGAAATAGTATCACCTCAGTGCTCTGTCCTAAGATGGAAAAAGTGACGTTTTTAAAATGATTATTATGTGTCTAACAGCCAGTATGGCCAGTAGCTATCTTGGCTGGGATAACTGGGAGTTATAGTCTTCAAAACTAAACTTTCCCATCTCTGGTTCAATCTCATACTTTTGAACTTCTGATTGCCAGAACTTCAGTGGTATCTGGACTGGACCATGTCATACCCCTCTACAGCTTTACAGACAGACTAGTATTTGAAAGGGACAAATAATGTCCCCTTAATGTCCCATCCACGAACAGTGTTTCCCAGTATTTATGATGCCATATTGTTGGGACAAAAAAGAAGGAAGGAAAGAAGGAAGGAAGAGAAGGAGATGAAAGAGAAGGAGAAGAAATTGATTCTGTAGAAATCCTATGCTGTTACTAACTTATCCTCAGAACCCGAAAGAAACAAACCAAAAAAGCTGGTTAAATAAGCAAAAAAGCACAAGCAGGGAAATCTGTCTGAATGTTGCTTCCTCCCACATTCTAATTTTAAAAACCTGAAGTTTGTTTCACACACCCCCCCCAGTATGAATACATTTGCATGCTTTTGGAAATTTCTTTAAAAATAGCTGGAGAAAAGAAAAATTTCCCCATTTGCTTTAGCTGCAATTAACAAATACTTCTTAGTTTCAAGTTGTAACTGCCTGTCAAGTGGCTAGGTTATTAAAGATGAAGCATCTCTCAAGAAAAAAAAAACCAAGAGGGACAAAAATCCTAGTTTAGGACTGACATGATTTAATACAAAGAGATTAAAACCTAGATTTTTATAAACTGAGCACTCAACATCCAGCCATTATTAGTTTTCCTCACATCCTTTGTCTGCCACATATGAAGATATTAGTGAACCTCTTATTAATAATAAATTGTAGTTCAATTCTCACCAATCTCTAGACAAGGAGTATGATGAGGGGGAAGAAATACTCTCTAGCTATTCCAGTCTGGATCAGATATATTGATAGCAGGATTGCTGCTGGGAATCAGTACTACATTGGTGCGATTCAGTGTCAGCCCCATTGGCTTCCTGATGTTAAGCAGGATAGGGAGGTTCATCACAAAGGACAGGAATAAATACTATTTATACAGCTTGGAAAAGCTACTCTTTTGTACTACTGCTCACAGAACCTCTTAAGTGGTGTGGCTTGTGGGTCAAACACAGACCTCAGGCATCAAAATTTCCCCAGCAGCCTCCATTAAATAAACATTATCTCAAAGCAGCCCCTTGAATTCTCCAAAATATGTGGTGGCCCTTTTGTAATGTTCCATCTTTGAACCCCTTTCCTCTCCACACACCCTAATTTTATTTTATTTTTTGCCACTAGAGAGTGCAATGGATTTTTTTCCCAGTTAAATAACTTTTTAAAAAAACAATAAATTGCACTGGGAGGGGATAGCAGTGGAGTGGGTGTAGCATTGTTAAGGTCCAGTGGTGGGCATATCTGCCCCACCCAGACCTCTGAATGTTACCCACCCCTGTCCGAGAGGAAAGGAGCTGAGTCAGGAAAGAAAGTTTTTTCAAGCTCTATCCTGTCATGGTTAGAATTTGCTCAAACCAGTTGAATAATATAACACTTTTTAGAGCATATGAGAAGAAGAATAAAAGGAGGGGAGGTCTTTCCCAAGATTCTTAACAACTGCAAATTGGTGACTATGTAAGAAAAATATATGTTAATTATGCCAGGATGACCAGGATTACATTTTCTTTTGTTCTCTGGGGAGAGACAATGTCTATTGAAAGTGTTTTTGTCTGTGATGTAACCACATCTTTGATCTCTGCATGACTGAATCTTACAGCTGTTATCCTATAGAACAAAATGTAACCAATTTTTCTTACATTTTCTATATGGTCATGACCCTGATCCATTTGAAATTGCCACTAAGATCAAATGCTTCCAATGAAGCTCTCAACATACCGCACAGAGTAAATGGGAATAAATTTTGATTATTATTATTTTTTATTTTGGGGATTAGAATTTTACTAAAACAGAGATGATCCTATTTAATGCGCCTAATTTAGTCTTAAAACAGACATGTTCCAAGGGGGATGAAGTTCTTGCAAGTTTAGAAGACAAATTTTAGAAGACAAATCTCAGTAGTCGACATTGTGCTAGTTTGTACACACTGAACAATTCAGATTGCTGAAAACAACTTTAGGGGCATGGTTTCTGAATTAGCCTTATTTTGTGTCATGTAAATATCAAATATCAAAATGGCAATAAATGCTAAGGTAATGTACAGGCACAAATACATGTACATGTTATTTAAGAGAAATGCAAGAAAGCATTTACTATAGCAGTTCAGAGTCCTTGGTATTCCACAGGATTCAATTCAAATCGGCAACAAAGTGCATGCAAAAACACAGGAGACACCTGACCCAAGTTACCATTTGATTTCTTTTTAATGGTAGAATTCTTTCAGTTCTTGTCTGGAGTGCTCCACTCACAACACAGAAAAGACAGTATCATGTTACTCCAGTTAACGAAGGTGGTATAAGAACTCAGAAAACACAATGGATTTCCCCTCAACTTTCCCTTTTAACCATGAAGACCAAACTCTAGAAGGGAGCTCTACTTTCTTTCTTAATTGAAATTCTGCCGTTCACTTGTGGTCACAAGGAGGCAGAAATCAACTACACAATCCTAGACATGCCATGTGATAATTTTGAGGGGTCACAACTCTGGACATTGACCTGCAACCTGATTGGGATCTGGTATTTCCCAATAAAATGAATATAACCCAGTAAACCTAAGTAATGAGTAAAAGAGATCCAGTTTTAACTGACCATTGCTTCACTCTTGATGGGATTTTGCACACACCTGTCAACCTGTATGTTTCACATTCAGTCAAGGCCCCTGACTTGCATTGTGAGAATTCAGAATGATGACAGCAGGGCCTGACATTTGGTATACAACTCTGGAGCCTGTTTTTAATTTGTAAACAGAAGTCACCACAACTATTTGGAATGACTCTCATTCTGCTCTACTGAGTCTTGGGAGAGAAGGATTAATTCATTCTGTTTGAGTGGATCACTGGATCTGGAATAGCGTCCATAATTGCCTCTAACATGATACCTTGCCTCCTGCACTGGATACAGGTGAAGAGAAGATGAGGCGTTGAAGCACAGCCAGGATGCAGTGATACTCCTTTGTTGCTGCTGCTTTAAATTCCCTCTGCTTTTGCATAAAGGTGGTTTGATAGGAAGAAATTAAACACATTGCACACCCCTAACTGTATCTCATAGTACTGATTTGGAACTAGGTTTTGTGGAATGAATATTTTATTGAAAGAGGCATGTGGGCAGCCTAACAGTAAGATGCACAGTAATATTTCGCAGAGCCCTCCCAATACTAGTGACAAGGACCAGAATTTTGTAAGAGTTGGGAGAAGCCCAGTGAACCTGGTAGATTTCATAGTGCTTTCTCTGTGGGTAAGGGGTGTCCTTATCAACTTCACAATGCTTTTTCTAAAGTAAATAAATACTGTGCCGCCCCCTCCCTGCATCTCATGGTCTCAGGCACAGACCAGGGGGATTTTTTTAGAGACGAGTTTCCCCCATGGGATTTCTATACTGTTGTTATACTCCAAATAAACACCATTTAACTCCCTGAATCTCAGACTACCAGATGTCAGAAATGGAGGATGGATACCAGTCCTTTCTGGATCTGACAGTCACAGATACAGGCAGAGGTGTATTCTTCTATTTTTATTTTGTTCTTTCCTGCTGTAGATCTTGCCTCTCTGAAAAACCTTCCCTATGGAATTATCTCTCTGCTGCTGCAGCCACTGCAGAGAAGTAACCATGAGAAGATGATTTAAAAAGGAGTGTCAAGGCCTTGAAGAAGGTATTTTCTCCCTGCAGTGCATGACTCCTTTGAGTGGGCTCTGCTGCATGGGCTTAGATCTGTTCTGATATTGTTCCCTTGTATTACAGGAAGGTGTGATCCTGGCCTGGCTTAGAGAGAAGGCAGATTTCTCCATTTTAAAGGTGTCCATGGAGTCAAGAGTCATGCAGCAAGGGAGAATTTTCTTCCAATCTCTCTTAGTTACAGCACTGAAGAAACAAAAGTGAGAGTGCCTCTGCCAGGTGAAAACCAGGTCAAAACACATAATTTGGATGGTGCTATGTAAACAAAAGTGAGAGTGCCTCTGCCAGGTCAAAACACATAATTTGGGTGCTGCTATGTTGAAACTTGTGCTAGTTTATCACAGCAAAGGAACTAATGCACAGTCAAAATTTATTCCGTTCTCTCAGAGGTGTCTGCTACCATATATATAGCATATAAATGATGAGGCTTTTCTAGAATCAGATGAGAGTGTTCCAAAAACCTAAATGCTTCCAATTGTCCTCTACCTTTGCTCTCTAACTGGCTTCCACTCAACAAGATTCTCTCTTATTTCAATGAAAATGATGAGGAAATCTACTCACTCCAAAGTCACCTGCGCCACAGCGTCCATAGAACTGTATCCATTTTCCATGAAAATCTCTGTGTATCGTCCCATTTTAATGGCTTCCAGCCATTCACCTACAGATCTGTAGACACCATTTCCCAGTGGACTATGTTCACCTAATAAATTTGAAACTCTAAAAGAGAAAGCAAGATACAAATTAAGACATCAAAAAGCACACAAACATGAGGGCATAAGACTTCGAGCACAGGTGTGGTTTGTATGAAATATGGCTACAGGATAATGAATTGCTCGGTGACCTTGAAGTGCCCAAGACCTGCAGTTACCCTTGTTAGCTTTAGAAAAATATGTTTCATGGAACTGACTGAATGACCATTTTCCAGCTTGAAATTTTTGATTTCAAAAGGCTGTTTCACCATCCCAAATTGGCTGGTGAAACTGCATGACTGAGGCAGGCTTTCATGACCAGGGAAAGCTCACATGCAGCATAGTCACGTTCAAAAAAGCACTGGCTACAACAACAAAGTCCTGGCTGAATACAGAATGAACCTCCTGCAACACACGGCCTGATCTGTGCTCTTACCATGGGAGGAGGCATATGTCACAGCTAAAGGGAGTTCCTCTTATTATCTCTAATTGGGAATAGTGTGTTGGGGGGACAGGTGATTCCTTTGTGTGCATTTAGCATTTCCATCTGAGAGGAGTGGGGACATGGCCGGGTCTTGCAGTTGTCTCCAGTAAATGGCTGGAGTTGGAAAGGCTAGCAGTGTACCAGGGGACCTCTCTGTACCAAGGGTTTGGGGCTTGGGGACTTCCCAAGAACCTCCGAGAGGGTGACATGGGCAAGATTAAGTCTGTGAGGGAAAGTCCTCTTCTGTCCTAAAGCTTAGTCAAAGCCCACATTTCAGCTTCTTCTGTATTTGTGAGGCAGCAAAGTTCACAAAGCAGAGATCTCAGCATCACCTTTACCTGTCTTGTTCATTGGACCCAATAATTAAAATGGTTTTTTGTGTTTGTTTGAATTGTATACATTTGAGGAGGTCATCTTTTAAAATATGTGCATTGTTTCTTTGCACTTTGTTGCACCAAAGTGTCATGTGAGCCTTGCAAAAATACTTCGGGCAAGGTACATTTCTTTTTTACAACATGTATCAAGAGGTGAAACAGTTAAGCTTTTGTAGAGACTGTTTAATCCAGTGTCATTCATTTCCATGCTGTGTCTGGAGTCCAAATGCCCATGGTACCCACGAGTGGCAATTCTTTTCTCAAATTTGGATGGGGGAAAATATGTTGGGGCAAGCATTTGGATGGGGGCAAATATGTTGGGGCAAACATTTGGATGGGCAATTCTTTTCTCAAATTTGGATGGGGGGAAATATGTTGGGGCAAACATTTGGATGGAGGAAAAAGAATTGATGCTTTTGAATTGTGGTGCTGGAGGAGACTCTTGAGAGTCCCCTGGACTGCAAAGAGAACAAACCTATCCATTCTGCAGGAAATCAACCCTGAGTGCTCACTGGAAGGACAGATCCTGAAACTGAGGCTCCAATACTTTGGCCATCTCATGAGAAGAGAAGACTCCTTGGAAAAGACCCTGATGTTGGGAAAGTGTGAAGGCAAGAGGAGAAGGGGACGACAGAGGATGAGATGGATGGACAATGTCATCGAAACTATCAACATGAATCTGACCGAGCTCCGGGAGGCAGTGGAAGACAGGAGGGCCTGGCATGCTCTGGTCCATGGGGTCATGAAAAGTCGGACACGACTAAATGACTAAACAACAACAAATGTGTTGGAAGGACAAAAAAGGGGAAAAAGGTCCTTCTGCCTCCAAAAGGCACTAGGAGACTTCTTAAGGAAGACAAAATCCTGTCAAAAATTCAAATTTCTGTTTGGTGGTAGAGGGCTGAGAGTGCCAAGACCATTTTAGGGGCCCTAGGAGTTCATGGCCACAGATTACATTTCCCCACCCCTGCTTTAAATGCTCTGAGCAAACCATAGCTGAGAGATGCTGTTTCAGTTTCATACACCTGTAAGTATACTGTCTGTGCAGGCAGCAATCTATGGAGGCAGAGGGATGGCCATCACTAATCCTGCACTTCAAATGCCATACAAAACCATACTTAACTTTTGATGAGTTGCCTAATCACAGATTATGGTTTTGTCAATGCAGACTACCTTTTGCCTTGCTATAGTATAAAGCAGCATCTCCTTTAAAATAAAGGGAAAAACATTTCTTATTGGCAGATCCATCTAGCTTATTTCTTTATAACCACGTTCTAAACCTATCTAGGTTGGGTGTCTTATCTTTCATCAGGGGCTAAATCAGAAGAGAAATCAGTTTGTATAAATGATTTGGGTAATGACTGAAAATTAAAAACACAGCAGTATTAGATAATAATAGCAACAATAACAGAATGATGGCCTATGCGCATTGTGGGCTGAGCAGGAGGCAACTCACCCCAACATTTTGGGATGAGGTCCCCTCTCAGACTGTGGGCTGCCAATGAAGGTGGCCCATAATTCATTCATTACCTGCTTGATGCATTCACCAGAGTTTTCAGACTACTGGGGTTGCGGATGAGCTTGTCCAAAATGCAGACAATTTCATCAAACTTGGGCCTGCTGTTCCGGTCCTTCTGCCAGCAGTCCAGCATAAGCTGGTATAGAGCAGCTGGGCAGTCCATGGGACTTGGCAGACGATAGCCTTCTTCAACAGCTTTAATCACCTGAGAAAAGATAAAGCAGAGATCCTTTCTCAAGGCAAATTATTTCAACTATGCTGCTTATACAACTGCAACAGCCTTTGAAAAGGAACACACAGACCTCTCTAACTGAAGCATTCAAATAATAACTCTGTGGATAAAGTAATGTCTGCAGGAATGATGGCTTGAGTAAGTTGTATATCTACAACGTAATTGTGGGTTATTTTGTGTGAAGGCTGTTCATCTCATTCCAGCTATTATAGTGGATTAGCTTCATGTTTACCATTTTTTAACTTAATGAAAGAAGGCTGGAATATAAATGCGAAATATAATGTAACCACAGCATCCAAGTTCCTATTTTCTTGACCTTCGATAAGGGCACACTGGAAACAGCAAATTGCCCATCAGGAGAATAGCCAGCATTTGCTTTAGCCATAACAAGGTTTACCAATAGCAAACAAGCTTGCCCTGATGACCACACAATAACTCCAATGTCTCTGTGTCATAATATGGACCATAAACTCCAGATGGTCTTGCTGAGTGCATCAGTGTCCTCTGGCTGTTTGCCAAGAAGCGAGATGCACTTTTTGAGATGGGTAAGCATTTGAGATGGTCTTTTCAGAGCAAAGCAGCAGCTATTTCTCGATGACCAGTACTAGATCTCACAGTCACTTTTAAGAGCCATTTCACTTTTAATCACCGTGCATGACCACAATTTATGGACAGAACTTGGAACATTATTAGTATAGTAATTTTAAAACTTACTAACTTGTTACTCTTAAATTGATTTTAATATATATTTTAAGAATCTTAATAATAGAAAAATGGCAAAATAGCCACCCTACAGTAAATGACTCCTCGCCCACAAACAATGTTTAGAAAAAAGCAAGCAAGCTTTGCATGTCACACTCAAAAAAGATTGGCATTACCAATAAGGTTATGTCCTTGTTAACCTCCAAAAGTACCAAGTTACAGATAATACTGTAAATTGTAATTTGTTAACTCCAGGCTTTATGCATGCATATAGTTTCATGTTTTCTGTATGTAATCTTTTCTCCAAGTGGTAGAATTATGAGCATATATAGAACTAGTACAAATCCCTAACTTTGAGTGATTACAGACAGCCTCTATATCAGGGCCCATCTACATGTGACACTTGGGAGGTCTGTGAATATTTTTTTAAAATCAGCAGAAATAATTGATAGTGAGAGGGAATTGGTCTGAAATTGTGATGTCGCCAGAAGTTTTCTTGTCCTCCCTTCTAATTTCCAAACAAAGAAGACAAATTCACTGGGGTGATAGCTTTATCATATATTTGTACAGAGGCAGTAAATGTGTGAATACAAGATCCTGAAGACAAACATATGAGGAGCTGTTGCCTTCAAGTCTTGGCTATAAGTTTCCATACACACCTTGTTGGCCATTGTTGGGAAAAGCACACTGAATGAGAGGGATTCTAGATTAATCTAATAGATACAGTTAATCTAATAGATTAATCTAAATCTTAATTTCCAAATTCCTCTAACCAAAGCAGACATTTGGCAGATCTCAAGCTGCTTTCTTCTACCTGACCATCAATGTTTCACATAATCTCCACTTGGAAATAGAACCTTTGTGGGGAGTGGCCATGGTTTAGCAACCCTCCCTTACGTTTTGGGGAGAGAACCTATGTACCAGTGAAGCTGGAATCACAGAAAGGTATATCAGAAAACAACAACAACAACAACAACAACAACAACAACAACAACAACAACAACAACAACAACAACAACAACAACAACAACAACAACACAAAAATATGATGGCACCATAAAGACTAACTGCTATATTTGAATGTGAACTTTTGTGGACATGTCCACTTCCTTAGACCTCAGACATGTTCACGAAATCTCACATTAAAATATAGCAGTTAGTCTTTAAGGTGCCAAAACATTTTTGTTTTCTTTATTTTTTATGTTTCTTTTGTTTTTGCCTGATATGCTATTACACAGAGGTATCTGTGCCTCTATTACTAGGAGGAATATAGAGGAAATCCTGCACTAATCTGAGAAACTGTATATATTATTACCATGGTAGCGTTCCCCTTTATTATGTCAATGGTTCATGTTTGTTATGTTAATTGTTCATGCATATTCATATTGCTGAGAGGCGGAGCCGAGAGAGATGTGATAAGAGGCGGAGCCAGAGAGAGAGAGAGTCAGTCAGAGAGAGAGAGGAGTGTGAGAGAGCAGAGAAGGAGAGAGTGTGGAGTTTGGGGAAATCTGAGAGGTGATTAGAGTAAGGAGTGTATTATCAAATAGAAGATTGTTGTTAATAATAAATTTACCTAAAGAAGATATTCATGAATCACTATCAATTTCTGTAATCAATGAACAAAAGTTATATTTAAAAGACTCTGAAGTGTGGACCTGAAGCTTCATCTTCCTGAAGTAATGATGATTTAGTGATCGCCTGGTGGCAGCAGTGTAAAACGGGATTGATTGCCTTCCTGTGCTCTAAGTCTTGATGGTCAAGCAAGGGGGCTCGAGGGTGAACACCACACTATGGCAATTAGATTTCTTTATTTTTACATGATCTGTTTTGCTCCTGTTATTTATGAAGACAGAAAGCATAGAGAAGTTCTCTTCTTGAAATTTCACTTAGCCTTTTCACATACTTTCAAGACTAATTTCAAGATCCAGTGAAGCCTGAGTTTGGACTCGAAGAACTCCAGTCAAGCCTGATTTTAAAAAGAATTTTCTTGAGTCAAGGGTACCTTTTTAGACAGAGGGCTGTGGCAAACAAGTTTGGTTCCTCACTGGAGCTTATGGGAAAAGCTTAGTGGTGGGGGCTTCTGAAGCCAGATCTGGGAGGGGGGGTCTAAGTTAGGAAACGACTCTGAAAGAAAATTCTTGTATTTTTAACTCATGATTTGAAGACCCAGTGGGCTAGCTTGAGGCTCAAGGCTCTAAGAGTTAGAGAGCGCATGTGAAAAAGCAGAAGCCAGGGGTCAGAGCAGATCTGAGGGAAGAGAAGAAAGAGCCTTTGCTTGAAATGGGATTACTTTGGTGACTAGAGGTAGGAGAAGAAAGATAGGTCCTTTTGAAATCAATAAACACTCTGTACTAATCATCCCAGAAGTAAAAATGCCACCCAAACGTACCAAAAGGGGGAGTCCTGAGGCTGAGGTTTTACCTCAAGAAATGGAGGGAAACAGTGACTCTTTATCTCAAATAGAGCAGGAGGAAATTGATGAGGGTGCCTCAGAGGAACAAAAGGAATTAAGCTCCCAGGAGTTTGAAAAATGGAAGCTGGATCGGGAATTTAAATTTTAGGAACTACAGCTCAGAGCTGAGCAAGAGACCAAACAAAGGGAATTAGAAATCAGAGAAAAAGCTGAAGCTGAGGCTAGACAAATGGAATTGCGTCAAAAGGAAATGGAACTTCAATTACAGATGAGACAATTAGAAATTTCTGCTCCAAACAATAACCTTAACAACAACAACAGTGTTGGAGGGGGAATTCTCTCAAAAATTGATCTTAAGAAGTTTCCCCAATATAAAAGAGGGGACTGTCCCTAATCATTTTTCATTGCTTTTGAGCATGCCTGCTGGGACCTTGAAATTCAAGATGATGAAGGATGATTGTTTTGAGAGTTCAAATAAGTGGAGATTTGGCTGAGTTATATTCACAGATACCGTTAGAAAAGGCCAGAGATTTTGAGGTACATAAAAATATGGTTTATTCAAGATTTTGTATTAATGCTGAACACCTGAGGTGAAAATTTCACTCTCTTACTAAAAGGCAGGAGGAATCTTATTCACAGTTGGGAGCTAAATTGCTGCAATGTCTTGAGAAGTGGATGGAAAGCGAGGAGATCACTTCTCTAGAACAAATGAAGAATTTGATTGGATTAGAACTATTTTACTCCATATTACCTGGGGAATTGCGTTATTTAGTTAGGACAAGAATCCTAAAAATCTACTAAAAGCAGGTGAACATACAGATTATATTAATGAGTACAGGAACCTCAGATTCTCAGAGCTAAGAGTTAACAAACCAAACTGGGACAACAATAAGAAGCCCTTTAATAAAAATTACCTCAGCAAAACAACAGGAGGAGATGGCCAGGGTAGTACTTCACCTAAATTGCCAAGGCTTAGTCTGCCAAAGCCAATAAACCCTGAGTCAGAGTTCACCAGATCTCCTCAGAATGAGAGAAAGAATTATAAATGTTTTAACTGTGAACAGCCAGGCCATTTACAATCCCAGTGTGTGCAAAATAAACCTAATATAGGGAAGAGTGATAATCAAACCAAAAAAGTGTATTATTTAAAACAAGTGGAATCAGCTGAGGAAAGCAGTAACCAGAGACCTGTTTCCATAACAACCAGCTTCTACTGATCTTGAGGAGGAGGACATTCCTGAAGCCCCTGTAGTACATTGTTTTTACATTAGAAATGATAATACCCTTCTCAGAAATTCTGGTGAACAGATAGTTGTGGGAGGAAAGAAATACATCACTATGAGGGACACAGAGTCTCAAATTTCCATAGTACATTCTGAATCTGATAGCCCAGGATGACATAATTCCAGGCAGAACAATGACCCTAAAAGGGATTGGGCAAGAAACCGTGGTGTTAAAAGTAGCTGAGATTCAAATAGGCTATAGGAATTGGTCTGGAAAGTGGCAGGCAGCCATTTCAGATGAAATATCAGCAGCTTTTCTACTTAGTTGGGACTTAATAGATCACATCAAGAGTGCTTTTGTGTCTACACGCTCAAAGGGGGGGGGTCAAGCCTCACCCTCTGTAGCTGAAATTGATACAGTATCAGAGAAAAGCCTGGAGAGAGAGGTTTCCTTGGATACCCAGCTTAATAATGGTGCTGAAGCTGATTTCATACTACTGAAGAGTCGCAATAAAAATAATTTTGCCCAGGAGCGGAAGGAAGACTTTAGCTTGTGGGATTGCTTTGAAGCAGGCCGAACGCCCACTGAACTGTCTCCTGAATGCCCTAAGAGATTTTGCATGTATAAAGACCTT